ATACCTATAAAATAAATTCAAATAAACCACTGTTGTAATTACATAAGTAAAGTAGGGTTAGGGTTCATTATCCGCACAGTTATCCTTTGAGGATCCAGAGAGTCCTATAATTCCAATTGACATTGAGTGGGAAGCTAGGTACACCCTGTCCATCACAGGGCTGACACACAGAGACAAACAACCATTCACACTACAGTCAATTTTGAGTCTCTAATAAACCTAATCTGCATGTCTTTGGACTGTGGGAGGAGGCTGGAGTTTCTGGAGAAAACTCACACAGGTACAACGATTAATAAAGTGCTATTACAACATCTTACAAAGTGGATGTGATAACTGAAACTAGCAAATATACTTGTATAGTAAAAATTGCTCATCTTAAAACTTAACAGTGGTGTTCAATAAAATAAAGGGTTCAGCAAAGCTTCTCCTCAAAATCATTTTAACTTTCATTTCCCAGTTGTTAAAGCATTAAACTTCCATAAAGGTGCAGGAGATCCAATAGGGAAAGAAGAGGGTTTTATACAGTCAGGTAAACAGGAAACATAAGAGACAGCTGTTTCTGAGTAATGGCATGAAAAGCTGAAGCCACCTGTAGTCTGGTTAACACAGGAAGCTGTCTGCTCTTGCTTCTGCAAGAAAGAAGAGGTTTGCTACTGCAAAGATCAGGGTCAACAAGAGGATCATCATCGAGAAAGGACATGAACTCTGAGGTTACATCTGCCAAGTGCATAGCAACAGTCATGGCATTGAATAGTTAAGGGTAAAACAGTAAAAGGTGTCTGTCTAGTTTCGAATCGTCCGTCTGCACGTACGCCAGACAGTTCCTCTTATGCGAGCACAATTGTGTTTCTATGAGTTATTGTTGAACGCAGCACACAAGCATTGATCAGACATAGGAAAGAGTTCAAGCAAAGTTCATATGCAAGTTTTCCATTACACTCCTCTGCAGCATTCACCGCAAGTGAGTTGCGGGTTGATGACATTTCGAAAAGGTGCCAGACACAAAAAGGAAAAAAAGGGAAACAAATGCCTCAGGAGAAAAAAAGCAGAACAATACACAGACGAAGATGTGAAGTGAGTTTTGGGTGATGAAAGACTACGCTGTCAATGTGCTGTAAACAAAACCATGTGAACCAGAATTATTACGTTACGTGCTGCCTCTGCCTGCTGCGCCGCGTTCACCTGAATCAGCTGAAGGGTTTGTTGTTGTTGTGAATGAGTCTGAGCAGAAAGTCTCCCGGTGGTTCAAGTGTCAAAAGGAAACCTATGGAGAAAGTCCAAACCTAATTCTCAGGACTTCCTACAGAGGTCATGTCTGAAAACAGCTTATGACATTATCATAAATATTTAGGGTAATAGTCTCAACAAAGCTTCCACAGTAGGTATCATATAACTGTTGTCATATTGTGAGCAGCTTAGTAAACTGATCTTACTGTGTGAAATACTGTCGGTGCAGGTTCCCTTTAATACTTGTTGTTGCAACACGACCCAACTATTCGGGTCAGTGAAGTCTGTGTGTTGTCTCTGTGTTCTTGTGTCTGACCTTACAGTGGTGAACGGCCTCCTCAACAGAGCAGCACTGGTGTTCCTCATGCTCCTCTGTCTGACACTGCTGACAGAGCAGCTTCATCTCTTGCAGACAAAACGCAGTGAGCGTTTCTCCATGCCGACCACACAGCTCTTCTTTCTCTACTACGCTATATCCACCCAGAGTGTTCCCTTTATCCTCTGCTCCCCTGACACTCTCCTCTGCAGCCCCTGGCGCGACTCCGTGTCTCCTGGGCAGGTCACGGAACAGGGCGTCCAGCAAAGTACGGAGGACGGAGTCCATCAGCTGTGATCGGTAGCAGATCGTGCAGCCGGCCGGGCCCAGCTCTCCCTGACTCAGCTCGATACAGGAGGGACACAGTTTGTGGCCACAGGGCAATGTCAGGACGCCCAGTGACCGGCAGCCTGGACACTCAGACTCTTCTTCACGTTGGGTCGGACGCTGATCCTCAGGTTCTCTGTCCCCAACAGTGGTGGTGTCTCCATTTTGATCGCCGGGAGTGTTTATCTCTCCATCTTGTACTAGCCTGTCTCCTTCTTCTTGGTCAGCCTGACTGACCCTCTCAGCCATGATAGTGTGACAGACACCTGTTTAATTTTAGCACAGTGTAACCGCTATTTGGCTGAACAACATTTAGATCTTGCCCCTGAGCGTCCCTCCAAAAGTCTGAGCCTTGCAACCGGTTGCAAAATCATTTATGCTCTCTGTCTTTATAAACTCCTCCCCTCAGCTGCTGTACACCCCCTCCCTGCTGAGAGATGGGTGCCACATAATAACATGATAAAAATACATTGAAAACAAGAGGCGTCATTCAAAAACAGATTCACAGAAGAACTGAGGCCTGTACTGTGAAGCAAGTTTAACAAAATTAGCTCAAACATTGACCCACAAAGTTGGTTATTAGTTAACTCTGGGTTTTCTTATCCAGATTCTGACTTGTGTGCTGCTGAAACAAGTGAATATCCCTGGTATGGGATCAGTACATTTATATCTTATCTTATACTTTTTTACCTTAGACATTATCTGAAGTGAGAGAAAACATCTTATAGCAACATCCAGAAGAAAAAGAAAAGTTGATGTAATTGAGGACAACCTTTTTTCACTGGCTGATGTGATTGGAAAATAAACATAGTAACAGCAAGGACAAAATTAAATCAGAGGAGGGAAAATTAAGCAAAGGCAACATGAAAGAAAACTGAGGAGTGAGAATAACTGAAGGAAGGTAAAGATAAACTAGTTGCTAGACATATGTGCTAAAGGAGGTGGCAGTTGACCCAAGAACCGGCTGTGTGTTTTTACACAATCTTCCTGGACCAAGAAGCAAATCTCTCCTGAATTCCATTTGCCTCTGGTAAATTCACCCCTCACTTTCACTCTCCCTGGAGATAGAAGGACCCCCTCAAACACACACATTTCCCTCTCACTGGACCTTAACTCCTCTCTCCAACACACATTTCATACACACACACGACCCTCTCCACTGATCAGATTATGAAGAACTGGACGGAATATAACACACAAACAGTTTTTACCTGAACACAAAGATGGCCCTTGAGCCTGACCTCCTGCCTCCAGAACGTGCAGAGGATCTGGTGGTTAAGCTTCCAGCACCTTATTATCGCTGAGCACTTCCGTCGCTTTCGCCAATGCCTGCAACACAACCTGGCAGATGATGATCCACAGTTGCATCAGGATTCAAGGAGATGGCAGCTCGGCTATTTTGCCCCCTACTACCGCCTTTTAGGCCTAAGACAGCCGCTGAAGCCTGTATGGCACATTGGTGGAACCGGTCCGAGAGTCTTGTGATCATCTGGCTTGAGGGGAAGGGCAGCGTCGGCCATCATCCCCCGAGGATGTTCGTCTCTACACCGAACACAGCTGTCAGGCTTGGCTGCAGGGGAGGTACCAGAGGAAAGCCATGGTCCGAGAATCCCACACTCCTTTTGATGGGATGTAGGTGGAAACTGGTGACTTGAGTTTCTCAGGTTCCTCCGCAGATCCACGAGATTCCTCCGTGAGAGGGATAAGCCCACCAGCGATAGCCTTAGTAGGCAAAACCTACATGAAATAGAACCACCATTACTATTACCAAATCTTTTTTAGCCTGATAAGGAATAAAATTACACAGTGCAGATGATTATTTAACAGTTAAGACATGATGATAATATTGTGTCTAAACTGTAATAGCGCGTGGACCTCCTTGTAGCGGTTTCCTCTGCACGCTGAGGTTCTGGGAACGGGGTGAGGAGCCAGCGCCTAAGGGGATAGCCACTGTCACATAGTGGAGAGTCATTATGAATCAGGGTTGAAATGTAAGATTTACCAATATGGTATTTGTTAGTTTATTAGGTCTTCTCCCCACACTGCTATGTGCCATGATAAAAGAATCATGCCACCAAATTCGTCAGGACCGAGTTTGAGTCAAATATAACTTGAATGTTTATAATGTGCACATATTTTCTGTTTACAAATAAATACTCATTCTCTGACAGAGCCCTTATAGCAATATGAGTGCAGTCAATTGTGCTGATTATATTTGGGGAACAGTGCTGCAAATTGCCTTTTGATGTTGGCCTGCTCTCCCGCAGCGTAAGGGAACTTGATGTATCAATCACTCAATTTAATAATTCCATCCAAAACTGCAGGCATGATTACACTCAGGGACGCCTGGAATCAAATCAAACACAAACCTGTCAGATAAATCCTGCTGGTAAGAATTGGTTGTCAGTGCATCCATCGTCCATCAATTCAGTCCACACATTCTCCCGTCAAGTTTGTTTTTATAAATCGCAACTTTGGGGTGAGAAGAGGCGTACGCATCCTTGATGCCCAGTTTTGTGTGTACTCAACGGTTATAAACGAGGCCCCTGGTCAGTGGACCACTCAGTTAGAAGATGGCTACCTCAGGGATGAGATAACATCTATGGATGTGTTGTTGATCTATTCCGAGACACCAGATGGCAGAATATGAGCAGTTTGTCTTTCAGACACTGGGTTCTGGAGGTATTGGAAGATGCTAAAAAAAAAAAAGTTAGCTGCACTTACTCACTTTGTAGTTTGGCTTTTTGTATTTACATGATTCTTGCTGTTCTGGGTCTGTACCCTTATGGTTGAATGCATGTATTGTAAGTCCCTTTAAATAAAGCATTAGCTAAATTAAATGTAATGTAATTAAAAAAAGGAATATGCTCTGCCTGTGCTAAATAACTCAGGAAAATAGAGGTGTGATTAATGGTATATAATAATTCTAACCCTTCTGCTGTGAAGGTAAGCTTCACAAAGATCTGTCATGACTGCTTTGGAGTGACAGTTGGAAGATCTGATCTTTGTCTGATGAATACATTTTAGTAAAAATAAATCAAACCAATAGGTTTTATATTCATTCAGTTACTTTTTTATGGATGTACATACTGTGTGTTGAATTATTGTTAAAAAAATCCTAATAATATTTGTTATTTGTTCTAAGGTGGACTGTCACACAAGCTGTGAATTTAACATAGAATTCATAATATCATTAAGGAAACGCTTACATGGTTCTGTTGTTGGCAGAACACAACTGAACACACTGTGACCTGGAAGAGGCCTCAAATTACAGCAAAGAGAATCACCATGCTTCTCAAGCACCGATGGGTGCAAGGGGGAGACACAGTCCACATCTGGCTGGGGCTGAGTTACATCTGCACTTTGGATTTGGGGTTTTGGGTCAGTGGGGAACAAGTCGTTTATGACAACTGGGCCCCAGAGTCAAATACTGAGGGCTGTATCCATGGACACAGGAGGATAACATATGTGGCTCAAAAAATAATAATGAGAGGAAAAAGAATATTTAAAACCCACCCTAGTTCAGTGGGGACACTTTTTTTTAAATTATTTCTGGTGTGTTTTTCTTGACTGCAATTTGACACAACTACATATGTACAATATGCTCTGGGTTTGGCAAATGCAACATGACAAATGTAGAAATTTGTAACAGACTGGTTATCAAGTTAAGGATGTACATTTTCACCTTTTTGCTTATCTTCCAAAAATATATTTAATGGTATACTACATCTGGTGATTGTGATAACATGTGGGCTACGAAAGGCATTCAACACAATAGAACTTGAACTTTATACTGACTTTATACTTGAACTTGTTTTACTATTTGGACATGTTTTGATTACTGCTAATCATTACTAAATGAAAATGCCTCAAACAAAATAAGCTACTCTTTTGCTGCATCACACATATTTTAAAATTTAATATGTATAATTAAATTATAATAATAATTCATTTTACAGCTATAGCTGTCCTTTTGGACAACCTTAATGTTTATTATTACCTCTAACCTGAATGGTTCGTCTCTTGCTGCTGTGGTGAATGTGGCAGTTGACCATGCCACAGCTTTCACCACAGCAGCCAGAGACGAAACATTTGGGTTTAAGCGTCTTTTATTAATCAAAACTAAATTCACAAATACACTGAACTTAAAGGGTCCAGCCATTTCATGGAATTCATGTAATGCGCTAGTAAAACTACATTGTTGGCAGCCGCTGAAGCCTGTATGGCACACTGGTGAAATTGGTCGGTGAATCTCGCAATCTTCTGGCTGGAGGGGGAGGTCGGCGCCGGTTGTCGTCCCCTGAGAGGGTTGGTCTTAACACCAAACACAGCGGCCAGGCTCGGCTCCAGGGGAGGTGCTGGAGGGAAGCCGTGGTCGGAGAATCCCACCACCCGTGTGATGGGGATGTAGGTGGAAACTGGTGATTTCAGCTTTCCGGGTTCCTTCGCTGATCCGGACTGATAAGCCTCGATGTCGGGGAAACGGGGGCATATAGCATCGCGTCAAGCCTTCTGGGTCGGGGCGAGTACTCCCGTCATCTCGTCTAGTCTCTGGCGGCGACTGCTTTCATAATGATGTCCGGCAACTCTCGGACGAGGGCACCAATGGCTGAAAGGTTCAGGGTAGCTGGCAGTCAGTCCACGGATTCCGACCCCTCCGGCACAAGGGGGGGAGCAGAAAGCATGTCATCAACGGGAGCAGAGTCGTCCAACGCCGGTCCCTGCCGGTTGAGGAGTTCAATCGCCTCCTCTAGGCGATAATGCTCCGGAGCAGAGAAACCGCCCCCAGTGATGTCGGCGAAGGCATCCACTCTGCGACGCTTCTCGAAGTCTGGGAGGAGCTTGCAGTAAGGGCAGTTCGCTCGGGGGGCCAGCGCCAGGCCGGCTTGCTCTGCTCCCAGGCACAACTCACAACGGGGGTGCAAGTCATAGGACATAATGTATCCCGTCTGGCAAACGGGGCAGATGCGGATGCTGAAGGACATCTCTTCTCTTGTGGTATGGTAGTCTTCTTCGTGCTGCTTTGCTGGCTGAAGGGAAAATAAGGAGCCGATTGCCCGGTCTCAGTCCAATTTCTACTCAAAGTGAGACCGGGGGCATGGACTATAGTTTTTTCAGTGGTGCGTATGCGTGCGAGGGATAAACCCACTAGTGATAGCCTTAAAGGGCGAAGCCTATACGATATAGAACAGACTGGCTACAGTTCCATTGACATGTTGGCCCTGGCATGGTCAAAAGTTGTAAAAAAAAATTGGGACTCTGGAAAATACACTTACGCTTGACTCATCTACTTATCACCCACCTGAAGAAATAATTTTCTCAAATTGAG